CCCCTGAGAATGGGCTGAGTGGCATTGATGGCGAGGAGGGTCCCAACCTCCCCCGACAGACACATCTCATCCTGGATGCCATCTTAACCCCACTCTTTGCCATGGCACAATGCAGGCACTCTGAGAATGAGACTACATTATACGGACAGCAGGCAGTTGACATACTAATCCAAGAACTAAAGGACTACAGGGACCATTGATTTTCTATTCTTGGTAAAAGGATAGAAGCCAGCCATCACTCTTCTTCGACCAGGGATGCTAATGGACTTTTTAAAAATGTTGCCAAGGAGATCCCCAGGAGCCATTCTGTTTTTGTCACTGCTGGGCCTTTGAAAAATACTGAATTCCCCAGATTCTATATCTGACATGTTTGTATTCAACAGCCCAGCTTAGATGTCTCAGCCGTGTCAGGTATTTATACAAAGCATCAGCCTGGTCTGCGACATGTAACACTGGAAGTCTAAACTCTTAACATCGGACTTAAAGGAAGGCCAAATAAGTACATATACATATCAGTATTTATTTTACTTTGTGAGAGGTGTTCAAATCCTCTTCATAAGCTTGAATAAAGGTTTAAATCACAGTTTTAAAAGAACATTTAATGTGTATATTCCAGATCCATCAAAGTGGAATCGTAAGACATAGACAAGCAATAAAATCAGATTTTAAAGCAACACTATGGAACTTTACTGAGCAACAGTGCCCTCTACAGCCACATGTGGTGATTGATTATATTGGGATCTATTACTGAGCAATGAAGTGGTTTCAATGTAGAGCTAAAAAAAAAACAGAATATCCCGCTTCCTGAGCCGGAAGATTTGCTGCTGTCACAAATCCACCAAGAACAGAATATAATTCTTAATATTTTCAAAGTTTCCTGATGATTATTGGAGATAAACTCTGTTTTTTCTGATTTACAGTTGAGCATTTTACTCTTCTACTTACCAGACCTGATTTAAGGTAAAACAAAGTTGCCCAATTTTGCTTTAACTTTTAATATTCAAAGGTTCATTATTAATGGTATCCTTAGTTGTAGCTACACTACAATGAACTAATTTCCTCCCCATGAAACACCCGTCTGAAAACTAGTCCATAGAATCCTCCTCTGTGTCCCGTGGGGGTTGTTCTCTCAGTTATTGCCAAATTCTCCTTAATCCCAATTCCAATTTGCCGCGACGACATCTACGTGGTTAGCCATTGGAAATCTAATTAGTCTCTCCTGTGTGAGAGGGTTGAGTGAGGAGTTGATAATAACGTCTGGGTGAAGGAAAAACTGCTGTAAATATACAGAAGTGAAATTTGGTGTGGAAAGAATATTTATTGTCAATATTTACCAAATACTGTGCGTGCGCCTTGTCGGAAAATTTTGTTTTTCTCATCATGTGTTGTGTTTGAATGTCAGCTGTGACTGAGAGTGAACCCTGGGAAGGATGTGAGTGCTCAGAGAAAAACAGCTCAGTGCCGATGGTGATGAGCTGTGTGATTCGTGTCATGGGACTGCAGAGAGATTGGTGGTCTGATGAACCCTCCAGTAAGAGTTTGCTGAGGAACAATGTGGCTCAGGCCTCAACAATGAATTGTTTGTCTCACGGCGCACCATTCATATCATGTGGTGTTTTTCCTCCTGTCACATTAAAATTCCCATGTGGTTGTTTTGACAACAACAAAAAAATCATCAGGCGGGTTTTTTTCTGTGGTGGTCTGGAAAAGCGAGGGGAGCTCGACAGCTTGACACCCTGTTATCATTTCCTAATGCTAATGGAAACCAATGTGTTGGGGCTGTACACGGTGGCGTTAAAGGTATGTGATTCTGTAAAGTTATATATACAACACAGGGGAGTAGTTGATGTTGGAATCGAGTCAGTGGTGGTTTGAACACTGTCACAGTGACACTAATGTGTAATGATCTATGAATAGGCTCCAGAAACAATGAGCACAATGAGCTATGTGTTGATTTGCATGAATTATATATATCACCCCCTCCTCTGAGTATTTATTTTTTTAATTAATTCTATTCATGGTTTTAATACAGATAAAACATAACATCCTCAACTATAGCTTACACTTGACTTATTATCCTCTCACTATTATCATGGTGTTATGATAGTGCCCTGCACAGCCGCCTTGTTTCCAGTGGCCCACGGAGATCAGAGGCTAATGTGGCTAATTGTGTCCAAAATTGTCCAAGAGACCAGGGATACGCTCGCTCATTATAATCTGACCGGTGTGTACGACAGATATGTCGGAGCGGAGAGAAAGTGGAGCTTAAACATTTCCACAGCAAAGGGGCTCCGAGATATCCAAGTGCACAGAGGTGTGAGGTGAGAGGTGCGCTCCATTCTGTAGCTATCAAAAGCGGGTGGATTAGCCTCGGCACTGCTGTAGCAGCGGCGAGGTCAGGGAATATTAAGGGCCAGATTCGGTTTTAGGATTAAGCTCCTCTGTTTAGTTGCATGGCGGAAAATAGACGTCCCGCGAGTCGACAGGTGTGTGCAGTGCAATGCAGTTGATTGAGGATAAAATTGGACTTTAGATTTTAAGTGTGACTTTTTATGGGACCGTTATCCCAGGCCAAGTGGGGACTGTTGAACATAAAAATTTACTTGTAAGAGTTTATGTATGAATTAAAATCTCTCTATGTCCTCATTCGTGTCCACCAATAAAGACTGAGACTCTCAGTTTATTATTAACATCTCATTCCTACATGAACCCACCAAAAGGCCAGGGGACGCCAAAATTCTATGTGGATGCATCTTATCTAAACGCAGATGCAGCCTTGCTTGGTAATCCAAGTGAATGTCAGATAGTCAATGCAGTGCCCCTGGCATCCCAGAAAACCCCCTCTCCTCCAAAAAGCCCCCACTGCCAACGTCTCCCAGATGGCTTAACAAGTCCGTTTCATTAAAAACAATGATCCCTGCCGTCCAAACCCCAGAACACAGAGCACAAACATGGGATGGGATAAGCTGTGCCTTATTTCCCTTCGACAGCTGTCAGCTCATCAGACACCCACCCCCGCCTCGCACTGCACAGGAAGTCATTAAACTGTTAGAGTTTGTGTTGGGTTAAGTTCAGACTTTCTGATGTGGGGTTGCATTTTTGACACATTTACATCGGAGGTAAAAGCAGTTGCAGGTTTCTGTTGTGTCCATTTGAGTCAATAGGTCAATTGAGACAAACTTGTCACGTGAAGGCGCGTCTCTCTTCGCCGTTGCAAAACTTGGCTCAGAGCTAACTAATTTGTTTTTACATCATCACAGACCTTTATCCTCTCTTAGTCAACTCCCTTTTTTAATGGAAATGGCTCAGGGCCATGATGGTTCAGACTAACCAGTTCTACAGCAACTGTCAGCCAAAGGAGGTGTTTTCTTGTTTTGCTGTTGCGTCTGTGATGGTGTGAACCTCTGTCCGCCCGCTGCTTACTGACGCAGTTTTCTAAGTGTTGTAATGACGTCGCAGTCATTTCTTTAATCCTGAAGTTGACATGGCTTCGACTCAAACCCCTTCCTCGTAGCTTAAGTTTACTCTGTTATTTTAATCCAGCGGAGCTTGCAGAATGTCTCCGGCAGCAGCTCGGGATAATGATAAAGTCATCGTGGGACTGCATGCTCTGTCTCCTGGCTTGTAGTCAAGGTGTTAGCTTGAGTTTCAGTGTATATGACTGGTTTTGCATAATTTCACTATGGTTGTCTTGCATGCATCATTGCCACACTCTGCTGGCTGCTGGCTTCCTTTTCTTTGCCCTGTGGGTCGTCAATAAATGTCAATAAATCCTCACAAGTATATAATGTTGTTTGTATTGTATAGTTTAAAGTGAACTACTTCTTGTTTTGTGTTTTGGACCTGCATTGTGTTTTGTTGGCAATTTAAGCATTTCAAGAACCAAAGTCCTTTTCTTCCTGAATGTCTTTGACATTTTAAAGGATTTGTCTCTGGTCCTTCAAGTAGGAGTCCTCGTTGGCAGGAAAAAAACAAAAACGCTCCAAATCATGGCATATGAGGCTAACCCATCATGTATACTGTCATCATATATCGCCTCAGGCCGGCCACACAAGCTGTTGTAATTTACAAAATAAACACAAGCAGACGGCCGCCCACTCCCCTCGATTTATGGCGTTGCGATCATCACTTGACCTCATTGCTAAATGCAGCTTTCTCCCCTGCATTTAGATGAAGCAGGCTATTATCAATATTGATGACAGTTCATGTCTCTGTTGACTTACTTTCCTGTTCCCACTTAAAACCATGTGGCCCAAGTCTCGTTGCCAAACCACACAGTGCATAAACTTAGGAGAGATTGTAAGAATCCCCCCCCACCCCCCCACCATTGGAGGACACAATGCCCTTAATAAGTCGGTTGTGAGCTCAGGTCGTCACTGTTTTCATTGTAATTCAGTAAATGCCTCTGACATCCATCCGTCAGTCTCTTCCCTCAGATGTCAAACATGTTGCTTATTCTCAAAAGGCCTCTCATGTTCAGCTGAGTGTTTTCAGGAGAACCGTCCTCAGATTTTCTTTATTCATCATAGGAAAAGGTAAAGTGACTCTAAAAGTAGGTGGATGAGGTTGTGACGTCTTCACGTGACACAAGCCGCCACTGCTGTCTTTTGTTTGGTTTGGTCTTTTGTGTACGGTGGAGGAACATCTTTATCTTTGACTCTACCCTTTGTCCTTGTTCTCCGACTGCTGCAGCTCTGTAATTATGCAGATGGAGCCATTCTTCCTATGTCTAGTTCTATAGAAGAAATGAATCACAACCTGTTTACCGGCCAAGTTCTCTGTGTATGTCACATGTGAACAAATGCTCACAGCACAATAAATATAATAACAGTTGAATTTGTGATTTTGTGTTTGTATGTCTCATTTAAGTAGAGTTCCAACAATATGGAATTTAGATCTCACTCATGGTTTTATCGGCTTGCGTTCACGTTCGTGTCTGTCCCCTCACTGACGTGGCTCAGATGCTGTTCGCTAACCTTCTCCATCATGTCTCGTTTCAGGTGGGAGGTGAATCTACCGTGTGCCATGTTTTTCTAGTGAGGTCTCATCTTCTGCCAAAATGAGGAGGCTGATGCCCGGCTCGCCTCCGCCCGTCCTGCCAGCCATCTTGGCTCTTACCTTAGCCGCTGCCTTACCTCAGCTGTCCTCAGGAGCCACGCCGTTCCCCCAGGACCTGGAGCCAATCAGCATCGTGGGCAGAGAGTGTAAGTTCGGACTCTGTTGTGTTGCCATAGCAATCTCTGTTGCAGGAGTAGATGTAAAAGTAAAACGAGGGTCAGTGATGTGTTATATCTCATCACCGGGGAACAGGGCTCAGTGAGGTGGATGTGTTTAAGGGCATATTTGCAGCGAGTACATTTGCATCGGTTTATTCGGCACCTGTTTCTTTGGTTTGTTTTGTTTTTTTATTTGTTTTGAAAAAGGCAATTTCAAGTGTCGGGTTGCGGTTCAAGGAACGAGATTCTGCTCTGAAATATTAAGGAAAATTAACCTTTTATGGAAAAGGCAGAATGATTTTTGCATGTCGTCGTTAGCTCTAATTTGTTGTTTTGTTTGTGATAAGTCAACGTGACTCAAACCACAAATAAATGAGCAACAACTGAAGATTGACTGATGTTTCTGTTAATGGAAAATATTGGTGTAATCTCTTGGAAATATCTTTTTAAAACTTCTGTAACAAAAAACAATTATGACACTTTGCTTGAAACCCACTAGAATATCAAGCAGTAGAGTGCATACTCAAACCAACGCTCTTATGAAACCACATTTAAATCTGCTTGATCTACGCCAAATTACACACACTCAAGAGTTTATCACCAGCCCGTCGGATGAAATTCTGACTGAACAGACGTCTTCAGACAACCCCGGGGATTCATCAGTGACACCAAATCACTGGGGAGGTCTTCAGAAAAGATCCCGACTCCTATATGTAATGGCCCATAATTGATTTAAGAGGTGGCTGAGACCACGGCCCACGCACTGTAATTGATCTATCTGGAAGAGAGCAATGCAACCATTAGCAGAAATAGCTGCACTAATAGTGCTATATGTGGAGCTCCATCCCAGGTGTAATGAGAGCAATTTGTCACCTCTGGTTCCAGCAGGTGACAGTGGGACACAAGGTCGCTCACAAGTCCGTGGTACTTCCTTTATGAATTGTTTGTCAGGTGGAACTCTATGAAAGCACAGCTAAGGGGTAGCTGCTTCTAGGACTCACCTCAGCTTTGAACAGACTTGAACCAACTTCTTTCGTGGGCATTTGTTATTTTATAAAACCACGTGAACTATTTTGTGCGTATTGTAGCACGGTGCTTTAGCTTTACTTCTCAGGAAGTGAGCCATGTACCTGCAGAAAGTCCATGCAAACTTGGGAAGAAACATGCAAACTCCACATAGAGACACCGCTGAGTGCACCACCGTGCCTGCCTTAAACAATAGATCTATCATCAAAATACATAGTTTGCTGATACATTTCCAGGTGTATCAGGTGAGGATGCTGGTCGTCTCAGCCCACTCGGTGTGAGTTCAGCAGCAGCAGCAGCAGCCTGAGGATGCTGGATAGTGCTTTTATTCAGTCTGTCCAACTGTGGACACTATCACCTGCTCTGTGATTTAGCCCTGGGCCGTGCCCCCGCTGCCCCCTAAACTTTAGAGGGTGTGGAAGTGCCGAGGAGTAATTAGAAAAAGCTCATTCACCGGGGAGCGCAGAGCGGTGGTGGGCCACTGAGCCGCTGGGAGTCTCTTCACCAGACAGTACAGCGAGGTCCAGCGCTCAGCCAGACATTAGGCGCTTAAATCTTTAAACAGTCGATTCGAGACGAGCGTTTAGGGGAACATATGGCTCCCTGTAGAGAGACTCATTTCAGATTGTGGTGTATTTCTAGCGGGCATTGCTAATTCAGCAGCAGCCCGGGTCAGATGAGAGGCTGGAGGGCACTTAATACAGGACTTTACAGATCCAGAGCGTCGTGGCCTTGAGCTGAATCACAGCTCGGTTAAAAAAAAAAAAGGGAAACGGTGGAGGAAGTCTGTGATGTGGACAGTCTGGTGTCAGTAGGTTGTCAGTAGTGAACAGGCTCATTTTACTTCTGCCTCTAGCATCCTTTCTTTTTTAAACCAGAGGCACGTCCTTCCACTGAATGACTGTCATCCTGTTATTTAAACCGCTCGGCACCATCTCCCCTCGTTTAAGTGAAGCTCGTCCCCCCGTGAGTCTGCTGGAATTAAAATGCAGAGGAGGAAGAATATAAAAAATGAAAATCAGCCATAGTGCAACACAGAGTGGATATTATATCACTCTCCTTTATATCATTCTCTTTGCACCACTTCCCTCACTTCATCTTATCTAATATTTTTCATGCTGCTGCCTACTCATTTTGTTTTAGCGCATGGACGCACCCGATTTCCACTGAATCATACTCCAACTACCCGTGGAAACAGGTCTACAGCAATTTATTAAATGATATCACATGGTTAAAAAGTCAAAAGTATAAACTTTCTGACAACACTAAAGTTAAACTTCATTGACCTGAAACTATTTCTATTTAAATGTTGACCAGAAAGACCCACTTTCCTTTGAGATGCATTTGATTTGTTGCCTTGTCCTCACTTGGCTCCGTCCCCAGACGTGTCTGTTAAGAAATGCTTACCAGGAGCCATTTATTTAAATCACACTGACTTCTATGACACTGCTGCGTAATTTGCAACTTTTCCCCCCCCGCTCATCCATCTCCACAAGTATACATTAGCATACAGTGTGTGCTCGGGGTTTTTAGCACAATGGGCCAAATTGTAACCTTCATCTTTGTGTTTTCTTTTCAACTGCAAAAGGTGTCATGTTTCTCTCAGTTGCTGATTTGTTGTTAAATGTTTACCTGTTGTCGCCCGGCTGCCTTTTGACAAATGTGAGAAACACAGAATTGTTTGTAAAAGCACAGACATACGACGACTGAGATTAAATGACATGTTTTGGAAAGTTGGTCTGCGTCTCCTCATAGTTTTATTATTTCTCTGTGAATCACTGTCAAGATTGAGCTCTGGCTTTCTTTCCCTTAAAGGAGAAATAATACATCACTCACTTTTTCTAAGGAGACATGAGCTTGTGTCTGTTCTTATTATGAGTATTTTAACATTTTCTCCGTCTCTTCTCCGTCTCGTTTCCCCACGCAGCCTCCTATCTCTACCCCAGCTTCCAGGGTCTCATGTCGGACAATGACACCGTCCGCCTGGGCCTGGACTTCCAGCGGATGCTGAGGATCAACCACATGCTCTACATCGCTGCTCGGTCAGTCACCAACACTCAGCTGCTGATTTCATGTGACAAAGAAAAGAAAGAAACATTATGTGTTATCTAGTTTTAGTCCATGAAGAATGTATTAGTCTTTTTAAAATGATCATATATTATTGAACATTTAAGTCATTCTAGTTTAGTAAAAAACAATAAGGTTCTTTTCTCATTTCAGTCAAAAAGATTTTATCTTTTCATAATCTGATGAAAAACACAGGTTGACTGAAGAACTATCACGGTGCTCCCTGCTGTGCTCACTGAGCTGCCAGCTGGTGTCGTGCTGATTTATAAGATATAAATGTAGTTTGTTCTTTTTTTATTCAGAGAAAACAAAAACATTTTCATTAAGTTTTCATTTTTTAAGCAACATTTATTGTCAACAATACAACGTGTTGATCGCAGTTTAATGACCTCATGATCATCTTGTCTGAAAAAGAATCGATGTGTTTTCATAGCCCTTGTTCTTGAAATGAACACTAATGTGAAAGCATATACGCGGCTGCACAAAGGCTGCACTAATAGTTCTTTCATTTTAGAGTAGTTATGATTTATAATTCTTTCATTTCGTTGTTTAGTCAGTGTGAAAAATATGATCCAGAGTTTCCAGAACCCAAACCATTTTATTTTTGTTCTTTAGCTGCAGCCAAAAATACCATCTTTGTCGTTGTATCCGCACGATTTCCTTTTTTCTCCCACAAACTTATTTTATATTATATATATCTCTGTATGTGTTTGTTTCACCATTGTTTAACTGGTGAAGCCGCTGAGGCAGAACTTAAACTCAGTTTAAAACCTTTATCATTTATAAATCCACAACTCTCAACTGTGAATCTCTCTTTTCTGACAAACTCCATCTTCTTCACATCTGTGCTCCTCTCAGACCTGAATGTTCCTCAACTTAAACTTTTTCTACCGCGTGAGATATTTCAGGCGGCGCCTCCGCACCAAACTACTTTCAGGTTTGCACTTGTGGCAGCACCTCCGCAGTGCTCCTAGTGCATCGCTCAGTCTAATTGTGTGTTGCTCCCCTCTCCATCAAGATGTCGTAGGTTAATTATCCAAAAAGTAGGAGGTTGCGCCTCCTCTGCTTATTTTCATTGTGCAGAATAAATTCTGCTTCGCTTCTTGGCTCCTGCTCAAACTGCAGTACTCTCAGTGCCAAGAGGCCCCGTCCAAAAAAGGTATGGAGACCCTTAATGTTCCTAAATGGACTTGTTATTTTCCGCGGCTGTTTGCCTCACTCCTCTCAATGGTTCAAATGGATCGTGTCGATAGATGGAAAAGTTTGCTGTTGGAAAACTTGATATTGAAAAGCCTGTTGCTCCACCTTCCACCTGCTGTTGTTGAGCAGCTTCGATCTCGCAAAACAGAAGCCTTTTTTTTTTAAAGCAGGGGTTTTGTGAAAGCTTATGGATTTACATTCAAATAAAATCTTTTCTGGAAAATAGGGATCGTCTAACATGTCATTACTCCATCTCTTGCAGGGACCATGTGTTTGCCGTCAATCTTGCTGTGTCATCTGAGCAGATAATCCCACGACAGGTAGGAAAGTCCTTCTTGTTGTTCAGTTTTTGTTCTGAATAACCTTTCTCTATACGTGTGATTGAGTCGATATCAATTTATTTACCAAACGTATTATTTAATGTGTCTCCTGTACAAACACGACCTGTTGATATTTCCAGATTTATATTTCATCCAAGATGAATTCCCGTTCGGAGAAGTTGACATTTAGGGGAGTGTTTGATATGATTTGATCGATGCAAATAGTTTTTGAATTGCCGGCTCATTTGACATTTTTCCACGATTTATATTGTAAAATAGGATCATGCAGACCATAAATATACAATACGATAAAACAACGAGTGGAAAGCAACAGTCCCCTTGAGTTAAATCAAGCTGCACCAACTTGAAAACACTCATCAATCAGTTCCCTAAAGATGCCTGACTTTTCAAATTGAAATGGCTTCAATAACTCATCCTTCCACAAAGTTACGTGGAAATCCATCCTGGAGGTTTTGCATAATCCTAATACCTGACAAACAAATACCAATGAACACATAAAACTGTGGTGTTTTCTTTACAACACAAAATATACAAATGCATCTGTCCCTGTTTTTCTGAACCACAGCAATTGTACATGTTTGTATCTCATTGTTTTCCTTTCTGCACTTTGCCTCTGTTTTCATTCGAGTATTAAGCAATCTCTCTTCAGACATATATCCAATACAAGTGGCGCCGTGCTCTTGTGGCTGTTGAAGTGCCACGCTCGCTCCTATCTGAATCTCATTTGTCAAACACGATTGCACTTAAGTAAAAGCCCTCCGAGGCCCGGGCTTTAGTTTGCTTATATTTAGATTAGTGGCAAACACGGATATTCATTCTGATCAGGCCTCCGGTCCATGTTGAGGGGATCTAGAATATTGATTTCTCCGTCAACTGTGGCACGAAGCATTGGGAACGTCTCGGCAGTGTGACGTTAGTCCATCTGTTTTCAGTTACGTTCTGTGAGACATTAAAAGTTTGTATATGATGCATTTAAAAACCCTCCGCTGTGACAGCAGAGTGGAAACTTATTGAAGATTCTGCCCATATTCTGCCGTCAGACTCTCACTCCCCTCTTCCTCTTCTGAGCTCGATCGTTAGTGTGTGACTGACTCACGTTGCCAGAAAACGGTGCGTTCATTTCATCTCAGATCCATTTCTTCACTCGGGCTCATTTTTGAACCAGCTCTTCATTTTTCACACCAGGGTGCTCATTCACATTCTCCCCCTCGCTGATCTCTGCGGGTCTGGGTGGCTATAAGTAATTATTAGTAAACCAAATCGAGCATGGACAAGGCAGGAGCTATTACCATACTGCTGACTCCTCCTGAATCATGTCAGATCTTCTCAAAGTCGCACAGAAGGTGTTCCAGGCGACAGCCTGGAGGAAGGAGCGCTGCCTTCCAACTCAAGGAGTCTGTCACATGTTGCTCGGGAAAAGATCGATCAGTTCACCCTGAAGGAAAGTGATGAACATGAAGGTGTGCAAACCTTTTCAAAAAATGATCAATCTGAATATGAGCAGCATATGTCTCCTTTTAATGGAACAGGCCGTATTCTACATTCGTCATCCGATGATGTTCGTTCAGTATCACGATCACATCAACTGTTTGTTGTTTGTTTTCTTCAGTTATGATTCACGAACATATTCCTGTGTAGCACTCCCCAACAAAAGCCCTATTTCCTCCTGTGTGATTACTGCAGCGTGCTTCACCGCACTCAGTGGAAATGAGTCGGTTTAGGACGTCTGAACGAAGCTCATTTAAGATGCACGTCTCCTCTTCATCAAAAACACGCTGCCAGGTCTCCTGAATTCACAGGTTCTAAGGGTTGTCTGACTTGACTGCTGGAATAGAGGCTGTCTGATTAAATGGAAATCCAGCTTTGAGAACAAGAAAACAAGAGAAGAAAGTGCTTGTGGTACAAATTGTGTTTCAGGGACCAAAGAGGACTGACCCTCAATTGCATTGATGCATCAAAATGTGTTACACTACAGGCTCCTCGTGAGACACCTTGATCGTAGTTAAGACATCGAAAAAAGTTAGTTTCTCCAGTTTTGTGCAAGAGCGTTTAGCATCTGAGGTAAAGCACTTTAATAAGCTTTTTCTGCAGAAAATGTTTAATTTCTTATGCAAAAATTAAATTTTCAAACAATTACAATTACAGGTTTTTGTCATTAAAGTTTGGTAATGACTTCTTAGGGATCATTTCAGTTTTCTGTGCATATGTACATACATACACACACAGAAAATCCAAAAATGAACCTATTACATACAGAAGAGAGTCGATGTTCTCATGTGGCTGAAACTTCTAAAAGTCACATTTGGCATTAAAACAACAAGACTGAAATATCAGGAGCGGAGCCTCCATCGCAGCCTCCCGGCAAAACGTCCAACTCCAGACACTTCGTCTTGTTCTCGTAAAGTTCAGACCATGATCCCAGATGTTTACGTGTCACTGAGTGAAACATCAAACTCCTGTGAGCTCGCTCTGAAACACAAAAGGATCCTGTGGAGGAAACTTGGCCCTGAGTTCAGTAAATATCCGACGGTAGATGAGAAACATTAAACCCTCAGTCGGCAGAGCTTGTTAACAAGGGAATGGATCTTCTTCTGCAGTATCTTCACCAGACAGAACAGGAAGTGTGTGTGCAAGACGATGGCAGGGCTGCGGTCTGTAGCTGATTGGGGCTAATTGACTGCTCCTCATGTGGACAGTGATAGAAACATCCTCTGCAGAGGTTTGATTCCTGCACGCGTGTCCTCACAGATCCATCCATTTTTTTTTAAATCACTGAGGAACCACAACGAGCTGCTGCGCAGGCCACCGCAGGCGTCCCTCGCTCTCCCCTGTTTGTTTGATTGTTTGTCTTGCTCCACGACAGTTTATTGAAGTTAATGAGATTTCCATCACAGCTGTCTCATAACAGCACTTGAACGATCGGGACCAACAAAAGCTGGGATGGGGAGAAACAGCTCGTCTGTGTGCTGACAGCCTATCTGTTCACTTTTCAGAAACTGACTTGGAAGACGAAGGATGTGGAGAAATGCACTGTGAGGGGGAAAAACAGCGTGAGTATTATCTTCAACACACACACACACACAATCTTCCTCCATTTCTGGTTTCGCTCTCGGTTACTCGCTCTCTTCCTTTGCCTCTGCCCTCGTTTCCTGCACTGCACAGTTTTTTATTTGCAGATAGTTTGAGATGAGAAACCGAACCTCGGGATTGATGTGCTCGCACTGTACGGACCAATCGTCTGACACCATTTGTCGAGAGCGGAAGTCTTTCTGCTAACAATGCTGCAAGCACTCGGAGCGCAGCCTTGATTATATGCGTCACTCTGTGCAGAGACAAGAGGCGCTGGCTTATGGACACTCGGAGGGCTTGGCATTTTGGTTTGGCTCTTTAAGGCAACCTGTGTTTGAGGCTATTACAGTGTAAATCACTAGCTGCACTCTGATGACTGTACGTTTAAGAGCCTCCTTTCTTTCTGTGCAATTACATCCAGCCATAAACTACATTTCCTTCTATTGTGTTTTTCCATTTCGCTCAAACACAGTCAGGGAAAATGGTAATGAGTTTGTGGAATCGACGATAGCCGACCAAAATCCCTCAGTCCTCCTTGTGGACCGGCTCCCTGATGCACACTCGCATTAAGATGTTTTTCCTCCCGACAGGACGAATGTTACAACTACATCAAAGTTCTCGTGCCGCGCAACGACGAGACGCTTTTCGCCTGCGGCACCAACGCCTTCAACCCCACCTGCCGCAACTACAAGGTAAGACGCCGCACCGCCACGTGCCGCAGCCGCCGGGCCTCATTTAGAGATAAGTGATGGTATTACAGCTGTGGTGACAGTATGATTGACCGTGTCCTTGTGTGTGAAGTCTGAGTTGCATCCTTTTATTTCAGCTGCTAATGAAAACAACAAGCTGAAAACTAAATTCATGTCATGTCGGCACCAAGCTCGTTTTGTGTGGAAGTGTCATTAACCAGCAATGTCACGTCGTAAACGCACAAATAAAAACAGGTCACAGAGGCTCAGGCTCGGCAGATGTTTTATACGTCAGTGAAAACTGTTTTACACTTTCAGGCCGGGACACATATGACATACTGCGAGTTTCAATATATACTACTACATTCAGTACACACTTAACATCACATACACACATGTGGTGAGGGTTAATGAATGGATTTTGTTTTGTTGTTGGCTTGAGACAAAAGTGACAGTAGTAGTATGTTACTATAAAAGGAAATGTGGCTGTAAAACGCTCTTAGTTTTGAAATAATCCTCAGTTGATAAAAGCATGATGCGACTATTTGTCAAGTTTAAGGCTCAAGTTACTTTCTAAAATAAATCCCAGATTTTTGGGGGCTGGCTCAATTCTGCAGGGACTGAGAAGTTGTGAAATTTCAGTTGAGAAGTTTTCGGGGCCAATCATGAGAACGTGAAAGTCCAGTTTCGAATGTCAGACATGCAGCCGTGTGATAAACAGGCGACCAACAAAGCTGTGGCAGCTGGAACTCTTCAACAGATCTTTGTGCAACTTCAGGTTCTGAGGACTGAGTCCAGCAGCAGGTCTTTATTAAGTGGAATTAAACACATTATAGTCTGAAAGCTTTAAAAACTTCATCAAACAACAGACAGGAAACATTTCCAACATTCCCCTCCAACACACAGTACATCTGTGATCGTCTGCTAGAGCCTGAACAATAGAATCATGTTTACATTGCTCGGAAAGGGACACAAACGTTTCTACAAAGACGGGTCGTACCAGGTGGAACTCAGCGTTTGTCTGCTGTAGAAAAGTGTTTTCACTGATGTCTCAACAAACACACGAGAAAATAAGTGGGAAATGATGAAAAACATAAATAATAGGCACATATGGCACGTTCAGAAACACTTTGATTATAAAGAGCTGGATCCTTGTTTACACTGGACACGTGCAGTACTTCTCTGTTTATTTAAAGCTGATATCAACAGCAGATCTGTACATCGCCGAGGACACGGCGTTCACTGAGGATGCTGCAGGTGACTGGTGGGATGATATGTTGGGTCAACACGGCCGAGATAAAAGAATCTGTTGACGGAAAACAAGACACACTGGTGGAGAGGAGGAGAGACGGGGGAGGACAGAGAGGAGAGACCAACCTTCATTATCTTCTCGTTTTACCTAAATAACAGCAGAGACAGTGAGAACATAAGATTCTTACAAAAGGCCCAGATTGTGTTTCTTTAAGGACAATGTGAAGGTAAAGCTGCGTCAGTTTGTTGAAGCAGCAGCAGGTCACAGCCGGTCACCAGAGCAGGAGGGAATACACAGACTGTAAATCTAACAGTGCGGGGGAGGCCGAGCGAGTCAAGACTATATTTCAGTGAGGTCTTTTTTTCCAGAGCTGTCCTGTGAACCAACCCAGTCGTCCGTATCACGAGGTCAGAGTGTGCAAGGTTCGTCCGTGGCTTCATATTTATTGCTCGGTGAAATTAAAAATCGTTTTAAAGGTTTACACAGAGAAAGAAGGTTATTAACAAAAGCCCGTTGTTTCCACCAGGGATGATCAAGTTTCAAAACACAGTATCGAGGAGATGTTAGCTGCACTGTTGCTATTCAGAAACAGGCTGAGCAGAACTGAAATATGAAAATACTTTTATTTGAATTTATTTATAATGTCGTTACCTGATGACGTGCAAACCCTGAAAACTGGGTTCATGACCCCCGGCTGCTGCTTCAACAAATCCACCAAACTCTGTTCAGAATTCTTTATATTTTAAAAGTTTCCTGCTGAACATTGGAGATAAACCCTGGTTTTTAAAAACTTTTTTAACGGCTCTACAGTTCGGCTTCGCTCCTGTTGGACCTGATTCTGACAATTGAAGCCTCACACTTCTCACAGGAGTTCGTACGCACTCACCAAAGTCCCATAGAACAGACGTTCAGGGAATGAAAGAAGAAACATTCTCTATATTCACACTCACTCAACCATCAAATTAATATCGAAGCTGCTGTTTTAGGGTAAAAATGTTGCTTTAAATGCAGAAAATCCTTCTCACCAGATCCTGGTTTTTGTTGAGCAAGGGGTGACATCAACCAAAAGTCAATATGTGATGAAATTGACTGGAGCCTCACGGACTGAATTATAGCTGTTCACCATAGGCAGATACAATTTTAAAACTTTCCAGGATGAAGTCTCAGGTGTCGTGAAGGACCTGCACAGTCTCACTTCACAGCTGCAGCATCGTATGGTTGAACTGAAACTGTTAAAAGAACTTCACAGCGACCTACATCGAAACGTCTCCCCGCCGCCGACTCCCTCTGGTGAAGAACGGCTGATTTACAGTTTAACACACACGTTAAATCCCCTCAAAAAAAAAAAAAAAAAAAAAAAACATCGCACAACAGATGACTATCCAGACAGCTGGGGAGAGAGACAAGTGTAAATCATATCAAGGAAACTGTCTCTGGGACGCCATGAAAAATCTGTGCAGGGCAACGGGGGATTTGAGTAAGAGTGTGTGTGCGTGCGTGTGTGTGTGTGTGTGTGTGTGTTGGTCAAAGACATGAATGGACGCTCAGCCATGAACATGCAGCTTCACTGACCAGACTGCTGAGACAGCTGCTCTGTAGACAACAGAGAGGCTGTCTTCAACATGCCTCTGTGGTACACACAAGAAGAAAAAAAAAACCTTGAAGCGTCAAATCCATCTGTCTTCATCTTCCCGCTGGGCAGCGATCCTGCCGTCACCGCACAGCTTTGTTCAATCCTCAGTTCTCCAAGACTTCTGAGCTCTTTTTGTTTTCTGATCAAAAAACTGCTGTTTCGCTTGAAATCGTGTGTCGTCCTGCAGGCGAGGGGTCCGCAGAGTACCGCTGATTTCTGATCAGATCTCAAACTGAATCTACGTCTGACTTGTGAAATCTGATTAGAGACTGAATTGTGAGTTTTAAGCAGGTTTATTTCTGCTTGTTTGTCTTAATGATATGTGGAAAACAAAGCCCTGTGTTTTTACCATACTCATAAATATGCAGAATCAAATAATGCTCCCTGTGATTCACGTTATGCTGCAACTTCTGCCGCAGGGTTTGATGCACATCCGGCTGCTGTGATCACTGATCAATATGCACAACGATTCCCTCCAAACATTTGTTTTTACCAGATACTCTCTGTATCATCGTTACTCTCCTAGGTTTGAGATCACACTGCTGAAGTTCGTTCTGGAGAAATATTGAATTCCTCACTTTAGAGAGAAGTTCTCTGTTTTTTCTGCAGAACACAGTCGGCCCCTTGTGAACCTGTTTCAGAAATGAAAGATTATTAGTTTTCTGCCATTTATTTTGCATTTGTCAAGGGAAAACTGACAGAAGTGAAATATTGAGAAAAGTTGTTATGACAAAAAAATTAAATGTGTACCTCTTGAGTCACAGCAGCTTTTAAAAAAAACATTTAGGATGAAAATGCGAGAGTGACTCCCCTGTGGTTCTCGCTTTCTTTCTTGCTTGTCCCCTTGTGCCTGTTTCCTTTAATAAAAGCCAAACTAGAAAACACATTAAAACACTTATTCGTCTTTGCCACTTTCTCTAATTCACTTGTGTGATTTTTCTTTTTTCTCACAAAAAGCTCTTTCCACCAGATCTAAGTGGAGCTCACATTTGATGCCCTACAAGAGGTGGATACAATAAAAGGCGGCACTTGTGCTATATATTGCAACTGATTCCAGCAGCAACACAAACCAGAGGCTCGGTGTGAATAATAAGTGAACACTTCACAGAAGTGATATTTAGGGCAGAGCTGCTGTGTTGGATTGCGTCAGGTTCAGGGGTGTAAACACATTCCTCTCCCACTATCTGACATGTTATTTTTGTTCACATCCCTTGAGTTTACGTGGCGAAGCTCTGATGTAAAGTTTAATCGCTTATTTTCTCCTCCTGTGAGTTAGAGCACACAGACCAGCAAGAACCCCCCCACCCACAATTCACCTAGACTCAAACTGACTGTGAGAATATGAAACTTTAGCATCGGGATATTATGGTTCGTGACATTGATTCCCAAAACCAGAGCATTGATTTTTGTTTATGTTCAAAGAGTCACGTCAGCAGTTCAGTTTGTGTTGATTCAACCCCCGACCACCAGACGGCAGTGTTGTAATCTGTCGTCATTTTAGACAAATGCGTCTCTGCACTTCCTCCCTCAATCAGGAAACAAAGCCTAAAATATATCAGGTACAATCGTCGTCAGTTAGCGTCAGAGTCCGTGCAGTCGAGACGGAAAAGTTCAGTCCCATCCACTAACATGGAAGAGGCAGGTTTTATGACCTACACTGCAGCCGGCCACCAGGGGGATTTAGAGACACTCAAGCTTTGCGTGTGTGTGTCGGTCACCTTGTTGCGACGAGGTTGTTTAATTTGCTCTACATACGCTCAGCCTCCGTTCTCCACACACACACACACACACACTGCCGGGTTCTTCTTATTGTCGTGTGTGAGCTTTACAACCTTGTTACCAGCAGGTTTGAAAACGGTCACTAAATATCTGCGGCCGAGAGATAAAGAGTTTCCTCTCTGCTCTCGACAGCACGACGTCAAACTCCACACGAATCGTTTCCGAACTCGACTCACACACAGCGGATCAAATGAAACTAATCTCTATGATGCATGTGTTGCCGTTCATTATCACACATTGATTGGCTGCGTGTCCTTTGCATTCAAACACAACTCTCTGCACATTGAATACCTCTGTCTGTGTGTGTGTGTGTGTTAGTGTGTGTTAGTGTGTGTGTGTGTGTGTGTGTGTGTGTGTTTGAGGCGGATTGATTTTGCAGTTGGTGCAGCAGTGACCTCGTGGGTTTGCAGGAGTAAGCGATGATGTTGTCTCCGTGTTTACAATCGTCACCCTGTCGTTTATATCCTGTTGTTTTACTGGTGCAGCTTTACACTTCTGTTATCCGTTATGAATGGTTTCGTCCTCTCTGACCTAGATGTCCACACTGGAGCAGGAGGGAGAGGAGGTGGTGGGACAAGCTCGTTGTCCCTTTGAGTCCCGGCAGTCCAACGTCGGGCTTTTCGCAGGTGAGTGAAGTAACCGAGCGATTGTAGGAATGTAATGGGTTCAGGTCCCGTCGCTATTTTTTATGTTCTTTCAAAGTGTCTTGAAAGCACCGTCACTATTTAGTTTTACATGGCTCCTCGCCTTGTGAACATGATATCTCGAGAACACCTTGATGGAATCTTTTAACATTTGGTACAAATGTTTATTTAGACTCACAGGCTAACTGATTCGATTTGTGAGGTCAAAGGTCAAGGTCACGATTGGCTCACAAAACTATGATGTCTCAAGTCCGCCTTTAGGAAAGTTCCTTAAATTTTGCCCAGTTGTCAAAAACACTTTCTGGTTGTTGGAGTCACTCAACTACAGGAATGTTATTCTAATTTTAATGTTTTTGTTTTTTTGCCTTTAATTGAAAACAGTTTATATCATTTGAACATTAAATTGATGTTTATTAAATCGGGAGGTCATCAGTGGTGAAACACGATCATCAGTTCAGACGCTGTAGTGTATGATGTATGATCGAATGGATTTTCATGTTGAGCCCAGAAATCAAAACCAAAGCCATCGTAAATTTAGTGTGGATCAAATGCGTTGATTATCAAAGCATCTTTTGAATTTCTCTTTCGGTGACGAATTGATTTAAACTCATGTTGACCTAGTTTTTGCAGAAAGTTATTCAAAAGCACTTTTGGATTTTTTTTTTTCTTTTTTGCTCTTTGGGAATCAACCAGGAAACTCCTGAAACACAAATGTACAGTGTCATGATTATTATCATTTAATGTAGTTAAAGTAGCCAGAAGCAGATTGATTTGAAAGGACGGACATGACCTCATAATGATAATGTGGCTTTGACAAATGTTAGTGTGGACTTGATTTTGACTGTGATGGATTATAAAGAACAAGCTTCAAGTGTCAGTTAATGGACATTTTATTGTGGTGAATGAAACTGATGGAGAGCTGCAGTGAAAATCTTTTTTTTGTGATTTATCTGAAGTACACTGAATCAAACATGTAGGTGTCCATTTGCTTTTTCATACTGTGTAATTTATATATAATAATAGTTTAAACTACATGTTACCTGCATCCTTTCTAAACCTCTGGAATCTGCAAGAGCTAAAAAGCAGAACATATATATAAGAGCAGTTCAGCACCAGAGCTCAGATAAACACAGGGTATCATCTGAAAATTGCTCTCTTGATGGGATCTAATCTGTGGTTAGATAATTTTTTTTTTGCACTAATCATAGCGATGGAGGAAGCTGATACTTTGTGAACACATCGGGGTCGATAAGGTTCAGAGAAGAGTGAAGAGAGAACCAGACCTGCGCTCGGTCCTGCCAGGTTTCCACTGACATTTATGCAAAGTTCACGCGGGGCGTTATTAAAAGTGACACGTTCTCCTTCATGTGTTCTCGCTGCCTATTTTCAAAGGGCAATAAAAGTCATCTGGGACCAAAATAGACACTTAAAAGGAGTGGGGTGTTTGAACCGTGATCCCGGACCATGTATCTCAATAACGCAATTAGCGTCTTTCCCTCCTCTCTGTTTCTCAGGTGGGGATTTCTACTCGGCCACTATGACGGATTTCTTGGCAAGCGATGCAGTGATCTACAGAAGTCTGGGAGAAAGTAGCCCCGTCCTCCGCACGGTCAAGTACGACTCCAAATGGCTGCGAGGTGAGAATCCAGCGTTTCACACGTAACGTACAGATGTGACGACGTGAGGTTGGTGGAAATGGAAATCTGGATTTCATTTCCGTCATGTCGGAGTCGGGTTTTATGGGTTGTGCTCGTTTGGGACAGATTCTCAAAGACCACAAATCTTTTTTTTCTCAACCAACAAAAGTTGAATTGAGATCTAAAGCTTTCTTTAGTTTTACAAATATATAAATCTGAATTCATAAAGAAATCATGTTTCATTTCTGATTTACTTTCTTTAAAATTCCAAATGAAACTTTTCTAAATTCAATTTTTGACAAGCTCGAGTTCTTCTGTGGCAGAATAATAGATCTTGTAAGAATGCGCCTCCTTATTGGTTTGTCCCATTATTCAGATTTGCCATTTTTAACACTCTCCTTCTTTATTTCTCTTGGACACATTTTCCGAATTGAGCATCTGTGTTTTCCAGCTCAGCTGCCAGCCTGCTCACAATGCCCTGTCATGTTGGCAACAAGGCGTCTCTGCCAGCGTGTTTGTCACACGTCTTTTCTTCTCGTCTCCCACAGAGCCCCATTTTCTCCACGCTATTGAGTACGGGAACTACGTGTACTTCTTCTTCAGCGAGATCGCGGTGGAGTACACCACACTTGGCAAGGTGAGGAACTCGTTTCAGGCCTGACGCTCTCCAAAGTTGTGGTTTCAGTCCTTTTTGTTTCCGGGTTGGAACGAAGCTGAACATCACATGTGTGTGTTGACGTCTTAAACAACATCAGGTATAAAAGAGCATTTCTCTCTCCGCTCAGGTGGTTTTCTCCAGAGTCGCTCGTGTTTGCAAGAACGACAACGGCGGCTCCCCGAGGGTGCTGGAACGTTACTGGACATCGTTCCTCAAAGCCCGGCTGAACTGCTCCGTCCCCGGTGACTCCTTCTTCTACTTTGACGTCCTGCAGTCGCTGACCAACGTGCTGCAGATCAACCACCGGCCGGCCGTGCTCGGCGTCTTCACCACACAGGCAAACAGGTCAGTGCTTCATCGACCGTCCCACCATTTCACTGTCTGATGATTTCTATTTCCCAAATTGAAGCTGAGGTCAGATCAGGAAAATACTCGTAAAATACAAGTGCCATTACTTTGTCTGGTACCATAGACTGTGTATAAAGATGGACGATATGACATCTGGTGGCTGGCGGCAGTACAGGTCATAAACCATGCCTCCTCAATGTTAGCAGATGGGACGTTGACCAAACTTTTCTCAAAGATGGTTTTAGTTAGTTCTTTTCATTCTGACTTATTTTCAAGTGGTCACGATGTATCGGAGGGATCTCGGCTCCATCCCACGATGGTGCTACTGCGTAAACTTCAGGATTTCAGGATATTTTTTTCTTCCATTTGTGAGAAACATCAACACGTCCACTCGCTCACTGTGAATTGTCCAGACATTTTCCAGCCATATTCTCACAAGGACAATGAAAGGGATTCTGAACATGAGAGAATGTCGCCTTTGTCAGTTCATACCTGAATAGAGAAAGCTACGTATATGAAGTGTGTTTTGTGCACATGTGACAGTCTGTGTCTTTGTCTCGCTCTTTGTAACGTCGTCCTTCTCTGTGACCTCTTCACCAGCATCACCGGCTCGGCGGTCTGTGCTTTCTACATGGACGACATAGAAAAGGCGTTCAGTGGCAAATTCAAAGAGCAGAGGAACAGCGAGTCGGCGTGGACACCTGTTCCAGAGGAGCAAGTCCCGAAACCAAGGTGAGAGAGGCAAACCTTTAAATACCAAACCGTCCCTTTCCAGGAACACATCTCTCTGCCTCTGACAATAGAGACTCTGCAGCTGCTGTTGTTATTGTTCTGGAAGAATCCCACCATGCACCTGTTTCCTCCCTCCTGCTCGCCGCCAACAACAAACAGCTGCCAGTGCTTTTCTTCATCTGTGCCCATGAAAGTTGATTCAGTGCTGATGAGTTTTCTTTTCTCTGCCGCTGCGCAGGCCCGGCTGCTGCGCCGGCGAGGGCTCGGCGGCTGCCTACAAGTCGTCCACCACCTTCCCCGACGAAACCCTGACTTTCATCAAGTCGTACCCGCTCATGGACGAGTCCGTGCCCTCGGTCAACGACAGACCGTACTTCACCCGAACCACCAGCAGGTACGACATCTGTTCTAATGAATCAACGACGGGAGAGATTTTTTCCAGTCGTTGTTTTTAACATAGGATCAGAAACACTTTAGGGCAAAAGTGTTTAATCATTATAATTATAATTTCTTTGGGTTTTTGGACTCGTGATGATGAGCAGAGAAAACAATCAAAACGATGAAGCCGTCACTTTCAAAGACTTTATAGAATCTACACCTCTGACTGCAATTAATTTGTACATTCAATATCGATTTCTATAATAATTTGCACGACAACATTTTACATTTACAAAAATTTGGTTTTTACTTAAGTTTTAAATTAAAGCCAGATTGATTTGACCAATTTTTCAAATTATTAATTAATCCTAAAACTAGTTCCAGATTAATTCCACTGCATTGTAGCTGATCACTTTCTGATGAATGGATTCCAGGTTTTAAAATATATTCTCATGTACATCAGAGCATAAAACATTCTCACTGTAACTCATCATTAGAAGCCTGTTTGGCTTCGGTTTTGCTAAATGTTGCTAATGCACCACCGTGTTCACCATAATTCATTAAATTACCTGCAGAGCTTTTATTCAAGTGCTCTTAAATTCTCGGTGTGCTCCTCGGAACACATCTTCATTAAATCAGATTAAAAAACACGACGGTTCAATGGATGTCGGTGCTGCTGCAGAGCTTCGCTGTAATTATGACAAAGGTCTTCAACAGAAAGTACCAGGGTCTTTTCTGTCATGGTTGGTACGCAGGTATTACTTTTTTCCATTTTCCACACTCTGGGCTGTGGTTAGTATTGATGAGTGAGCTCAGGTGGAACACACAACCTTGTCCCTCGTTAAAATCCATTGGATTTATGCATCGGTCGATTCCAGTGCACGTCAAATATGAGCGGCACGGGGGGGAGAGCTTCCTTCTGCACTGTGTGTGTGTGTGTGTGTGTGTGTGTGTGTGTGTGTGTGTGTGTGTGT